AATTATATGTATAAATCTAAATATATAAAACATCTAGCCCTTTGAAACAAAAATTAATTAAACTCACATTCCTTTATAGATTTAAATAATATAACTATTTTACATGAAAACTTCGTTAATTTTGTATTTTCATTTGCTTCTGTATGAACTTACATAAAAAAGCAAGACTGCAAGATACGCTTTATATGCACTAAGTATGATTCATCGGAAGCGTTTCAAGAATTTTCGCTATATTTTTCAGCCCAAACAAACTTATGAGGATGTTTTATTAGTGAAATCACTCTACAGTATGTTTGTACACTGATCAACACTAAAATTGTTTACAACTCAATATTTGGCGATTAACCGTACTTAAATAGATGGATAAACATTGTATGGTGTATGTGTTATTGATATTTCGTAATTTGTATTAACCTTTTAGAAGAATCGCAAATTTCAAGTCAAATAACAGCGATACCGTTTGTTTTCATAAATAAGACAAACGTCCGAATTTTTTGTTATTTGTAATTACGAAATGAGCCGTATGCAACAGGTTGCATATCAAATGCAAGCGAGAAGGAATGTTTGCTTTCTTATTGGGCGACCCTATGTAATTATTGCTTACTGTCAACTGCAATTACAGCGTAAACTGCGCGACTGTGCATTTGATTATCATTGTGTTTCTGTGCGCCTGTATGTGTAAATATATGCAAAGTAATATGAAATGCCTGATACTGCAGTTTAAAGTGAAGTCCGGGGTATCTGCTAGTCAAAGACTCCCGACTAGAGCACTGCTGATATTATTTTTAAGTTTTATTTAAGTTAAATCGATTCGATAATTAAGTTGTTGCACTCACTTGTCCATATTTTGAGAAAATCGCTTGAGGGCCAGGATGGCCACGTAAGTTTTGCCCGAGCCAGTGGGCAAGTAAATAATGCCATTTCGTTTAACAATGTATTCCACGAGTCGCAGTTGATAGCTTCGTGCCTGAGTGAAATTAAAAACAGAAATGTTTCACAGGAAYTGAATTTTAATTATTATTATTTACCTCAAGTTTGTCAGTCTCCTTATTTTCTGACATATTTCCAATATGATTTTATGTTGCTTCTGCACTTTTCGATTGTAAATCGTACACTGAAGTGGCGCACATGCAATTAACTACAAATGCGATAGAAGCACAGTGTAAATGATTCGGTTTCGGATCGCTCCTTCATATTTTTGTTTGTTTGTAGAATGCTGATGTGGCAGAGCTACAGCTCTGTTACCATTTAGCTATTCGTATATTTTGGGGATGTACCGTTTTCTGCCGGACAGTTAGCTACTTGATTCACTAATACTACCACTTAATGCATACTAAGCCGGTTTTTCATTAGATATGATTAAGTGTGATATATATGATTCTTTTATATACCTTTATTACATATGCAAATGCTTAGATTTGTTTAAATATCTATTAAATAAAAATGGCGTTACAACGGGTACAAATAATAAAATAATTAAAAACAATCCTTAGCAATTCGATAGCACAAAGACACATCCAAGGTGTGACTGTTTCTGTTAAAGGATGAAATACTTCTAATGATAACAGTTGGGACAAATATCGTTTGAAATCGATTGTCGGCGATATTTTTGTGTTCTCTGGTTAGTGGTACAAGGAAAAGTGATGCAGCCCTAGTGTTAACAACCCTGTAACTGTTTACTGTAGTGCTGCAAAATAATCGATATTCCGTAATATCGATATTCGCGATATTTTCAGAGAAAAAGATCGATAAAAACGATATATCGAACACTTCTTTTAAATGTTAATTTTCTTGCTTAGAATCTATTATAATATTTATATTAATTATGACTTCTTAATGGATAAAATGGCAACCATTTCAAGATTAAAATAAAAGCAACAGCATCAAACAAAAACAAATTTATTCAACCGAACAAAGTCGTATAACAAATTATTTTTCATTAACTTAAACCTAAAACAGCAATTCATTAAAGCTAGAACGTGCACACACAGAAGTAGGCATTGTAAGAAGGGTAAACAAAAACAACAATGGTTGGAGTTATAGATGATGCGCAGCTGTTTTATCCGCTGGGTACACGCATCAAAATCGCCAATAATTATGGCACCGTTAAATACGTGGGCGAGGTAGGCGTGTTAATAAATGTTATTTCAAAGAATATATGATAGTTTTCATATGCATTGCAGGTAAACGGGCACTGTGGTACTTGGTTGGGCATCGAGTGGGACGACGGGCTGAGGGGCAAGCACAACGGCATGGTCGATGGCAAACGATATTTTCAAACGCGATTGCCTACAGCTGGCAGTTTTATACGACCGGGAAAGTTAGGTCCCTGTGCCACGCTTGAAGATGCGGCACGCGAGCGTTATCTCAATTACGATTCAAAAAATGTAGATACTTCGCTGATACGTGAAGCACAGGCTTCAATGCAGGCTTCACTCTTCGAGGTTGTGGGCATGGACAAGATCGCGCGCAAGCAAAGCAAGTTTGAGCAGCTTTCGGAGGTGAGCGTGGACGAGACACCAGTCAATGCTGCAGGTTACCTGAAGGATCTCTCACAGCTAACTACGCTCAATGTAAGCCATACTCTCATCTGGAACTGGGAAATTGTGGCTAGCATAACTCAGCAACTGCCTTTGCTCAGCAGCTTGAATCTGAGGCACGTGTCCTTGATTCTACAAACGAAAACAATTTTGAATAATGACTTTACTTTGCAGCTCAAATCGTTTGCTGTTGCCCACAGATAAACAAGTTGTAGAATTGGCTCCCTCATTTCGTCACCTTAAACATATTAATTTGGGCAATTGTGGTTTCACGAACTGGCAGGATGTGGTGCAAACGGCGCAGCTGTGGCCGGATATTGAGTCGCTGAGCCTACAGGAAAACGCGTTAAGTCAACTAGCTGAAGTTGACTGCACAAAAATTTTTCGAAGGCTGCGTGAACTCGATTTGCATCGTACTAAACTCATGGATTTTGACCAGGTGTGCAAGCTGGGCAACATTAGTACCTTGTGTGTTCTCAATCTAATTGAGAATGGAATTGAGCAGTTGCAGCTCCCCGATTGCGAGCCGCAGTCAAAACTAAATATGTTTGTGTCGTTGGAGCAGCTCAGCTTGATGCACAATCCCATATGGAACGAGGTGAGTAATAACTAAAATATAAGTTTTTCTCACAATTTGTATTTTTTTGTTTTTACAATTTGTATTTTTTATTTTTTTAGACTGAAGCATTCAACGAGCTCGACAAATTGCCACAATTGAAGCGCTTGAATAAGACGCCACATTTGAAGTCAAATTTTGATGAAATGTTTTCCAAAGCAGTGGCCAGCATAGCCGGTCTGCAGGTCGTCAATAAGGCAAAGGTAACACCTGAGCAGCGACGAGGTGCCGAATATGATATATGGAAGAAATATGCATTGGACTGGCTACAGGCGACCAAATTGGGGGCTGATGCGCTACGCGAATTCTACAAGAAGCATCGTACCTATCTGGGGATTGTAAATAGTAAGTTGTTATTGCTAACCAATTGTAATAGTTGATTTCAAATCAGTTCTTCTCTTCTTGCATAGAATATGGGTCGCCCGCTGATTTTGTGCCGCGTATACAAGTCAAGCCATCCAATCTCATTAAAGTCCGCATACAGAATAGGCAGACAGGTGAAGTATGGGAAAAGAAGGTGCCACGCATGATAACGGTGCAAACGTTACAAGGACTGATTATGAAGCGCTTTCGCCTTGGGGAAATTCCGAAACTATGCTATATAGATGCCAAACATCCGGAACTTGTCGTACGCCTAGAAAACAATGCCAAAACGTTGGATTTCTATTCAGTGCAGGAGCACGATACAGTTTTATTTGAATAGTGGAAAAGTCTAGTTTAATGGAATATTTAAAAACCCTCCAAAACTCTCTATACCCTTAATTTGGTATTTAATTGTGGTATTTTAGCTGTAAAGCAACCATAACGTAAACTTGTTGATTTACATATTAACTGTGACACCTACTGAGACCTATGCAATGCAAAATTACGAACGTTTGTTTTAGATATTTAAGTTTACCAATTCCCGCTTTTTTTCTTTTAACAAAATAAAAATGAATTTATTAAGTGAACCCGATTTTTAATTACTATAAATATCGATGGTTGTCAATGATAGCTAGAAATGTGAGTTGCATACGGAACTGATACAGCAGAAAACATCAATAGCTATCGATAGATTTGCCAGTCACATTACCGCGATGCATTCATATTGGCTAACAAATTCTTTAAAGTTGCTTAAATGCAATAAAAACAATTTATGGATAACAGGTGTACGTAGATTATCTGCAACAACACAGTCTAGTGGAGAAAATATTCAATCGACAACACCGCCTGTACAACCTACAGAGGAGCTTGACAACAAGAACAACAACAAGGAACATAAGCAGAGATCTCTGCACATAGCCGTAATTGGAGTCCCAAATGTTGGAAAAAGTACTTTTATCAACAACATAATTAACCATAAGGTGAAAAACAAATAGTTGTCAATCTAAAATCTAAACTAATCTCTTTTTTAGGTTTGTCCCACTTCAGGTAAGGTGCACACTACTCGTAAAGCAAACACTGCGATTTTGACCACGGGACAGACACAGCTGGTATTCTACGACACGCCCGGCTTGGTCACTCAGCATGAAATACGAAAACATCATTTGGAGCAGAGCTTTAAAAGTGCTTATCGTCATGCCATTCAACATGCGGATATTATAGCTGTTATGCAGGACGCGTCGAACAGTTGGACGCGAAAAAGTTTGCATCCCACAGTGATTGACACATTAAAGACCTATGCTCAACTGCCCAGCTTACTGGTGCTCAACAAAGTGGATGCTTTGAAATCAAAGCGTGTCCTCTTGGACTTGATTAAAACTTTGACTAACGATACTCTGCGTAGCAAAAGTGCTATTAAAAAGATTTCCCTGCCGAGCGAATCAGTGGGCGTGCGTTTGAATCAACGAGAAACTAGTTGGAATCACTTTAGTGATGTCTTCTTGGTATCCTCCATCACCGGCAGTGGTCTACAAGAGCTGCAGGACTATCTGGTTGACTGTGCCAAGCCAAGACGTTGGGTCTATCCAGCTGACGTCTATACAGATGAAACACCCGAAACTTTAATTGTGGAGAGTGTGCGAGCACGTTTACTGGATTATCTGCCACAAGAAATTCCCTATAATCTGAAATGCGAGCTGGAGTACTACAATGTGGAGAACCGTAATTCCCCGCAGGCCTAATTAAATTATTCTTGTAATCCATGCTCTCTTCTTATAGGTGTGGTCTATACATCAGTTTTGGTTCAGTGTCCTACGCCCCGAATTGAGCGCCTTATCTGCGGAGAATCGAATGGAAAACTGCGCCAGATAACAGAACGAGTAACTTCGGATTTGGTGGAAATGTTTGGTCAAGCAGTGTCTTTAACCATAACCACAATGTCCGGGGGTAAGAGAAATTCATGAACGTGTATTTCAACAGCTCTAAGCTTGGAAATGGCCAAACGGAGTACAAAATTCATTCGCATCCTTAGAGATGTCGTTATTTACCGCGCTCAGATTACAGTTTTTCAAAACTTCGATAACTTAAATTTTTGTCAAATCGATTGTAGTAAAATATTAATTTCAGTAATTTTATTCACCAAATTTTTTTTATAAATACTTATTTTCGTAAAAAAAAAAGAAAAACAACAATGATAATTTATAGCGTATACTTCAATTACTCAGGCAAATCTAAAAACTTGATAGTTGTATAGACCGATGTTATTATTAATTACATAATTTACAAACAAATCAGTTGGTTACATATGGATGGTATTTATAAAAGTTTTAAATGGGCAACTAGCTTATCAACATCGGCAGCTGTTGCAGGTCCCAGTCCAAGCACCGTAGCTGTTCCAGGCTCCAGCTGTGTACGCCCGGCGTCTCTTACCAAGGCAGCAACTACGTTCGCCTCTTGTGCCCGCTGCTGTAGGTCATTTAACTGTTCGTAGTTGTCCACTCGGAGAACAATTTTAGGCTGTCCCATTCGGCACCAGCGCTGGAGTAAAACATTTTGCATCTCGCTGCCATGGGATGCGCTTTGGTAGCACAGGATGGCTGCGTGTGCACACTGTGCCGCTGTTTTTCCTTTGCTCATCTTCAGATCTCCGCGCACGATTAGTGCCAGTTTTGTTGGGTTTGAGATAATGCTGGTACCGAAGAGTTTAGTTATAATTTTACTTAACATTGGCATATTTCTTGGACTGTTCATCCACATATTTTTGCATGCACGCCTTGAACTCTTTCACTTTGTCCTGACACATGCGCCAGTCGCCCGTCTCTGCAATGCACTCCTGCACCTTATAGTGTAGCTCAATGCAGCCTGTTTTTTTCAGCATCAACTCGACCGGATCCTGTTCTTCAGTTGGCATATTTAACGTTTGTTTCTAATGCAGATTGCATTCAACAGCAATTATGGCAATAGCAAAAGCACATGCGCGATATCGATAAATATGGTGTCGCCATAACATGCGATAGCTATCGCATTTTCATGCGGTACCACTTCTGACTAGATTTCCTACCTAATTAAAAATTTGAATCAAATGGATACAAATAAATAAGGTATGTATTTTTCGTTTTAATAGAAAACTGTCATTGTTAATAAAATTGTTAAACTCGATTTCGCCCTACGTTACAATTTGTCCAAATATTGTGTAAGGTCTGGTAAACCGGGTTTAAGAGCCTTGCGTGCACGCGTCGCCTGAATAATTTCATAAGGCTTAGAGGTGGGCTCGGATGGATCTCCCGGCAACAACTGCCAATGATCGAAGACACATTGAGGAAAGGCCTGTCCCCGTGTGTTGGTACGTAACTCGGCAGTGAAACCGAAGGATTCGTTGACCGGCAAAAAGCATTTAACCACATACATGGGTGTTCCAGGCACTGGAGACTCCTCAAAGACATGACCACGACGTCGGCTGAGTACTTTGTGTATGCCACCAACAGCCAAATTGTGACATTGGATTTCACACAGATACACTGGTTCCAGTAGACGTGGACTCGCTGTGATTGCTGAGGCGTAAATGCAACGTCTCGTTGTTGGGATGATTTGGCTACCACTTCGATGCACTGCATCAGCATGGACAACCACGTCGTGTATATCAAAGCGTACACCCCGCATGTTTTCTTCAGCCAATACACCCTCCTTGGTTGCCCACTGAAAACCGGCGATAATCGAGTCCTTGATCTCGTTCAGATACTGAACCGATTTGGTAGAATCCACAATGATGTTGGCGCCAGTGCAATCGGGACCAAAGCTCCAGATTTTGCGCGCTTCACTCACTTCATAGCCATACTTCTCACTGAGAAGACGTGCCCGCTTCTTGAACTCCTCTCTGGCTGAGACAACGCCATTGTCAATGTCCTCGGCCAAGCCGTCGGGCATCGGTTCGGATCTCATAGTCAAACGATTGTGCTTGTTACGAGACTTGGACAGGCACATTTGGTTAGATTGCTCAAGGACAGTTTCACGATATGAAACTAGAGGATCTGACGTTTTGAGTGGAATACAGGCATGATCTTCCTCCAGATCTTTAACGCAAATCTCCAAATGCAATTCACCAGCGCCTGCAATAATATGCTCGCCGGACTCCTCAATTATGCACTGCACCATGGGATCGGATTTGGCCAGACGCTTCAGACCAATTACAAGCTTGGGCAAATCAGCTGGGTTTTTGGGCTCAACGGCTACACGCACAACGGGCGATACGGAGAACTTCATTACCTTCAGAGGAATAAATATAAATTTTAAAAGAGAATTATTGTTTTGAGAAAGACAGACTTGACTTGCCTTCATGTTGTATGCCTCTTTGAAGGTTGTGATTGTGCCTGTTTTAATTAGGAATTGATCTACACCAACCAATCCGCAAATATTTCCTGCTGGCACGTTTTCAATGGCCTCCACTGCACGCCCCATCATCAAGACCGTACGTTGAATTGACTTTTCGTACAGATCCTCTTTCTTGCCGGGAACGTAGTTAGGCCCCATGATGCGGCACTTCTGTCCGGTAACCACCTTGCCAGCGAACACTCTGCCAAATGCATAGAAACGTCCTATGTCTGAGGTAGGTACCATTTTGGAGACGTACATCATTAATGGACCTTCTGCATCGCAATTTCTAATGGCAACCGCCGCTTCATCACTGTGAGGACCGTCGTACAACAGTTCCATGCGATACCTTTGGGCTACAACCGGTGAGGGGAGATGGATGGCGATCATCTGGAGGAGAGTTTCGCCTGCTGGCAACCAATTGCGCATCACCGTCTTAAGTAACACCTTCCCCTGTTGTTCTTGCTCGTCCGGCTGCAGTTTAACACCTATCTTCTCTAATAATCCCGAAATTTGTTCTGTTTTGTAGTTCATTATGGCATCAAATACTTTATAAATGGGGTCGAGAATGTAAAGGCAAAATGATCGTTTGGCATCCGAATCTTCTTGCTTTTGCCATTTTCTCGTTTTTACATTGAAGAAATTGTCGCCCCAAAATCTATGGAAGAAATTTTCAAATGAAATACATTTAAATACAAGTTAAGGAAACATCAAGTATGTGTAATATATATAAATAACAAAATATAGAAGACAAGTTTTAGAAACTAATTTGTATCTAGATTCTAATTCTAACTGTGAAATAAAAATTGTTCTTGGTTTTTAAAAAGGCAAAGCCGTATAAATTAGTTTAATGACTTGAATATAATAAATTAGAATTGAGATTGTATTGAGAGCTTACCGCTTCATCAACTTATCCACATCGATCCTGAACTTATCAGCATACATCTCGGCAAATTGCTTCAAAGTGAATGCCCAGCCGTGTAGACCTGAACCGAATCCGACGGAGCCCTTCGAAGGGTCAAGAAAGATATCACCCATGGGACCGCTATCATCATTGTAGGTGGCTATGATAAGATTGACGTTCTCCACAATGCGCTGGAATGTTTGGTACAGCTCTTCAGAGTTCAATTGAAGYTCGAGCAAAGCTCGATCCATTTTATTGAGGAAGAGAATGGGTCTAATTCGCTCAGCAATCGCTTGCCTTAGCACTGTCTCTGTCTGCACACAAACTCCAGAAATACAATCCACAACAACTAGGGCGCCGTCGGTGACTCGAAGTGCTGCAGTTACTTCTGAGGAGAAGTCCACATGACCAGGTGAATCGATCAGATTGATGAGAAAACCATTCGTGTCATCTTCCCGCTGATCCGTATTCGTGATGAAGCGCAAGTCCTCATTCATTAACTCAAAGTACATGGTAATGGCACTGATGACGGCATTCGGAAATTATTAAATAATGAAGATGAAGATTAAATAGTCTTTGTCGAACTTACGTTGACTTGATCGTAATACAACGCTCTTGCTCGTCTTTGCGGGTATCCGTGAATCGCATGGCACCAGCCCTGGCGCCCGCTATAATACCCGCCTTTGAGACCAGCGAATCAGTCAGCGTCGATTTACCATGGTCCACATGCGCTATAACAGATATGTTACGTATATTACGCTTCTTCTGCATTAGGCCGTGTATTTCGTCCACGGACAACTTCACCATTTTCTATTGAGTCTTATATTGAAAATTACACTTGAATTATTTAAATCGTCTCCCACATTGGCGCGCTCTAAGTGATTTCTTGAATCTTCTGGAAAGCTTCACACTGCGCAGCCTTATAAACACTTTCCACCCATGGATTTCATAATAAGGGAAATCAACGTAAAGCTTTCGTTGAAAAAGCTGCTATCGTTGCAAATGCTTTAAACTTGCAAGCTGAACGATAGGTAATCAAATGAAATTATTATTCAAACTGTGGTCCGAACAACTTGGAGACTTTAATAACTGAAATTTATGCTTTTCTTTGATATTTGAAAACATAGATTGGGTACACTTTTTTGATGTTCAGTAAAACACATATTTATAATCAATATGAAAATATGAATGTGATTGTTATGCTTATGGTTTAAGAACATACTGATAAATATATATAGAGATGTACTTATATTATTTCATTTACAAGTAGCATGGTTAGCATGGTTAACATTTCTATTTCGATTTAATTAAAAATATAAATAAAATAAATAAAGTCATTTATTTTGAAACAATTAACAATATATACATAAATTGCGCGCTCTGGAGTCGAACCCGAGACTTCCCGATCGAGTGTCGCGCTGCTAATCACGCCACTTCACTTCTTAACTATGCGATAGCAAATAGATTCACTGCTGCAGCGCCATCTACCAAGTCTAAATTAAACTAACTGCTGATGTGGTATAATTCTGAATGTATGTGTGCCCACGTATAGAAATATTTTATTATTTTTTAACTTTCAGCATATAATCTACATATGGGCATTTCTCCCGAAAGGTCAACCGCAGCCAAAACATTCAAAGTCAATAAAAGCATGTTCTGCTAACATATTTTTTATAACTAATCCATCAAATTTAACTAATATAAACCAATTTTACATTTGATCTTAATACATCTCGAAATATTGAGACACAAAGCCGAAAATGTGCAAAAGTTCTGTTTTGAGCATTTCTATTGCACATTTTGTTCTTATTATTGAGATGCAATGAAATATGATACTTCGAATTCTCTATTTTATTATCTATATATATAAAAGAAAGTTGTGTAAAAGTGCTCCAACACTTATAACTCGAGATCTGCTGGCCCAATTTTCATGGTTTTTGATTTGTTGGATTTGTCTCCGCCACGAGTAGGTCAGTAGATCTTTAAAATATTGAAAAAATTTGACGAGTACTTGAAAAACGCGGTTTTTTCCCTAAAGATTCAAATTT